TAATATGTCTCTTCAACTCCTCCATCTTTACATTAGCAGGTATTCCGGTGATTACTCCTCTGCTCCCGCCAAGTCGAACTCCCACCTGACTCGCGCTGCTAACTTTAAACTTTCCCACCTCCCTCAAGCCCAATGCCTTCTTCATTTGCTCCTCATTGGTACAATGAATTAATAAATTTCCATCATTCAACACTTTAGCTGATGTTACATCGCCCAGCTTGTTCCCAATATCCATTGTAAGACTAAATGGACTTGCTTTCCTCACACTGGCTTGAGTTTTCTCATTAAACCTCAGCACAACAATCATCCTACTCGGTCTCTCAATAACTGAATGAACACTGCTGTCACTACCACTCTCATTCCGAAGCCGCTTACTACGCTTGTTCACTCTCTTCTGTGCTGACTGTAACTCAGCGTCACTTTCACTCTCCTCAGCCTCCATACTATCGCCCCAACTCCCTACCTCTGACCCATCCACGGAAAAAACAGGTTCTGGGATTAAGGTAGGTGGTTGTAGATCAATGAGATTTAAATCTCGCGCATTTCTCCTCGTCGACGCTCTGCCTCCGCCTGCTGACGTAAAGTCAAAGTCAAAGTATGCCATTTTGATCCCAAAACACTTTTTAAAATGAATTTTAAAAAGTGCTTTTGGGACCAAATCTGCACACTTTGACCCCAATTTTCTCTGAATTTCTACAGTAAAAGTGAATATTTTACACAGTGGTAGAGGGCATCACAGTGAACAAGTGTGCAGTGAAAGTAGTCAGGGAACTCTTTTTGTTCTTTTTTAATGATTTTATTAATACAATTGCATCTTGCTTGCTTCTCGTCGCGGCTCCCCGTTCCACGTTTACCGTAAGTAACAGCCTAAAGGAGCCAACCACTTTCAAAGTGCGGACCCCTTTACCGCTGCCGACGAAATGCAGGGCCACTTTAACACGGTGCTGGAAAGAGGAGGAAAGTGTCGGATGGAGGGAATTAGGGCATTTGAATGGGGGCGAAGGAGGAGGAAGACAATGATCCAATGATCTACGGCACACTGTAAAGCGCAGAGATAAATGGTTGTTTACACATCAATATGAACACTCTCAGTAAGTCCAAAGTCCCTCTCTGCAGTGCACCACTTCAGAGGCAAGCACATAACCCGTGTACTCTATCGGTGCACTGTAATGGCGCGTTTGTCACATGGGGTCTATTATCTAACGAGTGGATGTAAACTTGTTTGGTGTTGGTGGTGCAGCCACAGCCTTCTGTGCACCTATTGTTTCGGCTCACAGCTCAGCGTTCAATATGATGGTCCCATTGGGGCTAACCTAGAAACTACTGCTCTTTGCTCCTGGATTTCTTGACCAACAGGCCTCAAGTGGTGAAGTCATGAGCTCATATTTGCAGCAGCAGGACCCCGAATATCGGGACACCCAAAGGCTGTGTCCTGATCCCCCTCTTTTACAGCCTTTACACACAGGAGTGCACAGCAACATTGGATTGGGTGCATTGCTGATAACAAGGCTGCCCATTAGGAAGAGGTGGCTCTGCTGAGAAACTGCAGTAAAGAAAACAGCTGGTGATGGAGATGATCTGAAGAGGGGGGCACATCATCACATCCCCTAAACATCTATGAGTCACAGTGGGGAGTCGACTCGTATAAATTGATCTAAGTTGAACAGCGGCTGTAGCAATTTATTTCTCTCCATTGTAGCACTTTAGTATTTGTACACAAATGAAAAAAAGCGATAAAATTAACCATCTACAATGAATTACATTCAATGATAAAAGTCCATTTGGAAATTCTATCCAAGCATTAGTGGACACTGGTTTTAGTTCATATTCTTGCACACACACACACATTGAGCATGAGTTTTTTTTAATTATTTCTTTATTTATATATATTTATTTATTCATCTCAGTTTGGTTGATATTCTTTTTAATCGTTGCACTTTAGTATTTGTACTCAAATGAAAAAGAAGAGGGACAAAATGAACAAAATAAAAAAAACCTAAAAGATAAAGTTAAGAAACAGGAGTGGAGCGGAGAGTTGCCTTGAATAGAAAGGGTTTAGGAAAGGGTCGTTCTGCTTCAACTCCAACTCTAATGCGTTCACCTGTGCTTCCCATAGATCTGAACTACAAAAGCCACAAGGACCTGTTTGAGAAGTCCAAGTCCATCCACACAATTTTCACATTGTGTTTCTAATTTAGCTACGGAAGTATATTCCGTTGAGTAATCTACCATACCATCACTTAAAATTAACTTTGAACTGATTAGGCTGTAGGTATAGATTAAAAAAAGATGAATGTGACGTCAAAACTCCCGAACTTTATTGGCTTTTAGTTTTATCGTTAAATAATATCAACAAAAAATGTAATATAGTAGGAGCCTGGTTCGTCACAATGAAAAATCACCATTATTGGAATGATATCAAACCTATGAGTAGATTATGACTATAGTCTCATTGTTCATTAATTTATGGTAAAATATATTTTTGAAACACCTCTGTACATTTACATGGTTGATTGCCATTACAATGGTAATTCAATACAATTATAGAAGTAGTGGGTTCAATATGTCTGGTGTAAGGCCAAATTTTTGCTTAATTCTGCCGTTTTAACATTTTTGTATTTTTATGATGTTCAGCATTTTAAAATAGTTTAGCTTGGAATATGCTGCTATTTTGAAATTGACAAACCATAATAAAACAGACAAACTAATCACACTATACCTCTAGCCATATCATCCATCAACATGTGATTGTGACAGGTCAACCTAACAGCCAATAGAAATATTTTATGTTTCCACAGGAACATAAAGTTAACACAATGAGCAATATTGTGCGTCATGAACAAAATCTCTTCAACTGTAGAATATCCAGGGAATATATAGATTACAATAGTAGTCATACAATAAGATGCCATTTTACTGTGTGGTCAATGTGCACGAATAAGTAAACATCACATCAGGAATATGGGAAGCACAGATATGTCATCGACACCTCCAAAAGCTTTCTGATATATTTAACATACAGTATATAGTTTATAGTATATAAATCTAAACCTTAAATCTCTTTCCGGCCCAATCCTGGTGTGTTGAAGAGAAATTCAATATAAAAACATATCAATTGCTCCTGTAGCTGAGGTCCAAAGCCACAGACACGGCTAAGTATTGTATTGGTTTTGCTTTATAAGTCCACTTTTCTTTTCCACCCCTTTTCAGAGGTGAGGTTCAGTTCAATATAGATCCATTCAACCGTTGATGACTGAAATCCCACTTTTTCCGACGAGTCCTTCCCAGGCTTTTTTTGGGGGAGCGAAAGGCAAACGTATGCAAAATGAAGTGGGTGAAGCCAAGAAAATGTCTGAAATAGAATAGAAGTCCTCCTTGGTTGTAAGAATGCTAGCCTGGTAGGAGGGGGGGTCCTGTCTGGTCCATAAGGCGTCATTCAAAGCAATAGAGAATGGAACAAGCTTGAAGCGGGGACAGCGAAAAACAGAAATGCTTTAGTCCGTGTCCACATTGTGACATTGACAATGATATGTCAGCTGTTTTACAAGTTATTTCCTTGTTTAAATGGACATTTTTTTCCATCTTTTTGTTGATGAAGTCTTTTTGTTTGTTGTAGCACCCATCCAACCCACGCGCCCCCTCCCAAAAAATGTTCTGACCCTGTATAGCCTGCCAAACCATTTAAAAACAAACAGGCCCCAGAAACATCTACAAGAATGACGCTTCACAACATCAACAACTTGAAATGATACTCTTAAACACAAAATTATTACTCTCCTCTTATTCAAGTGTCTCAATAGAATAATATTAAACAATAAGAACAATCTTTTTTTACGACACAGAAAGAGCACGGTCTCTTCTCTCTGTCCTCTTTTGGCTAGAAATCTCAAGGTTCATTCAACAACAAAAAAGTGACATGGTAAAGACAATCCAAAAATTACAAATGACCAAAAAATATATATAAAAAAGCCTTTCAGACGACTTAAAAAAAAAGAAAGAAAAAAAAGAAATAAAAAGTTACATACAGAAAAATGGCATTAGCGCTCTATACATGGCATACTGTACAAGGAAAGGTGGAGGAGCAAAGGTTTGGTAAAACTACCCACAATGCAAATACACTTTCACTTTGACATGGAAAGGAGAAAGCCGTATGGAAATGCATGTAAGCAGATTATAGCACTGGAGAGGAGTGGCCTCAGCAGGGGGCGCTGTAACAGACACTAGGGTAGTTTGACAGAAAGTGCAGAATTAGTTAAGTAATAGAGAACAATTTCTTCCTTGCAACACAGTACTGTTTTTCTGTTAATAATAATATAATTAATATAATAAAAGTTCTTTACAGAAAACAGTAAGAGTAACAATATTGACCATACACTAATGCCTACACGAACATTGGCTGCAGAAATTACTTTCAATTAAAAGAACCAAAAAAATTAAAAGTAACACAAATGGAGAGAGCTGGTTCCTGTGCGGTGTCGACGAGCCATCTTTGGAAATACAGATCCCGAAAAAGAAACCCACCACTTCCTGCTTTTTAGTCCATTATTCCAAGGTAAGAATCCGCCCGGGAATGATCGCCACGGGAACGCAAAAAAGGGGAGCGGACAAAACCTCGGCAGCTTTTTTGGACAAAAGCTGGGCGTGAACTCAATACTTTTGAGGCAACAGCCTTTTGTGAGAATGACTGTCCGTGCCAATAGACAGGCACAAAGTGAAATATGCCGACAATAGTTGAAAGAAGGGGCCAAAGACGGGGGCAGCTTAGTGTCTGATCCGGGATATAACAGACAAAAAATGTAAATCTATGACTGACAGCCGGTGGCAATGAGTGCTGGATGTCTGTGCAGAAATGCTGGCACTTTGACCTGTAGAAATGAAGCGGTCCCACCCGTATGTTATGTACAGCCAAAAAACACAGCCCTCCCCCCACAGACCCCCCCAAAAAACGACTGGGACACAGGAGCGCTGGGGCCGACGGCGGTGGTGAGGCGTGATGCTGCTCAACTCAGGATGGCTGATGTGGACCACAACGCACAGGAGAGACAACCACCTGGGGAAAAAAAAGCACAATACCACACAAGTTTGAGAAGGTATCTCTGCATCAACATGTTCTAAGGATTATTGAAGGCCAGGGGTCTCCAACCTGTAGTTCGAGAGCCACCAGTAACTCGCCAGCCCCTTCCAGGTTGCTGTATTATTCATTATGATCATTTGTCATTGTAAATACACTTACTTTGTGCCCTAGTAACAAACACGCAATGATAAATAACTAATGTACCCAATATCAGGCTCGTTCACACAAATATATCACCAATCCCAGCGCCGCTTAAAGGAGTAGCTCTCTGCCTTTATCGTCCGGGGAAAGAAGCTCTCTGGGTGAAATAGGTTGGAGACACCTGCTGTAGGCTAAAGTTACTTCGTGCCTTGTTTTTGATCAATAGTGCTGGATTCCTACGGTTTACGTCATGCAACAAAATGTGATTCTGATTTAATTGTATATAGTTGCGTTTGGAAGTTTACACCCCCCTTTGAGAGATTGATATCACTTCGACAAAACGTCTGTGTTGGTTGAGTGTAGTCATATATTTTCTAATAAATGTAGCTTCTATTTTCAATATGACATAATTCAGCCGATCGGTGGAGAGGTCAAATGTGCAGTTCATGCATAGATGTAGTGTCCGAGGAGGGTCAATGAAACCTTTGAAACCTCAACCTGCAGACTGGAGTAGTACCTATGCTAGACCCCGGCCTGCTCCATGCTGTACTGCAGGTCTGGGGGCTTGTAGCTGAGGAGCATGTCACTGGTGCAGGACGAGGGGTAACAAGCCGCCGCAGCCGCCGCATGCAGCTCTCCTTCGACATCACACACTGCAGAGGAAAGCACAAAGATTTAATAGTAGCACCAGAATTGCCTATTTATTCATAAAGTATTGTTTACGAAAAACAAAAGAGTATGTGGAACGGAAAAGTTACGAAACCAGCACCGAATCGAACAATACTTGGAATATGACAAATTACTTACAGTATCCTAACCCTCCCTTATAACCTTGTCAACAGTGAAGAATCAGGCTATTCTGTGTACTGACCCGACTCCTCGCGCTGGTGTAGCTGCTGGCTTCCTGTCAGCGACGTCTGGCTGAGGATGTCAGACATGCGCGCCGAGCTGAGGGCTTTCCCGGCCAAAAGACTCATCCCCGACATGGGATCTGCCTGGTCCTGTACACAAACCCAGCAACCATTTGATCCTAATTGAGCCGCTTCCAGCAACGTGAGTCACAGCGGTGTGTGGATGACTCACTACGGTACGACAAGACTTGTACAAACATTTATTTGACTATAAAGACAAAGTGTGCTCAGTCATGCACGTCTTTTAACGTTCCAGCTACAATGATGAAGAAGAGGTGCAAGATAGTGCATACAGCTGTGATAGCGAGTGAAAACACCATTTGGCTTATCTGAATTAGTTTGGCTTGTATTCTTTTTCTAGAATTGTACACAAGTTGGAATACAGATGCCTTTACAACTCTATGGGAAATGGGACACATTTTTTGCGCATAACATTTTGTCAGATGGGCCTTTCAAGCCAACAACAAGCAATTGTTATTGTAATTTATGTCACCACTTCTTTAATAGCTTTATGGGAAAATAATTATACCATTGTTGATATGTACTGACAAAGAATGTCAAAACTCGAGACTGTTTTTGTATCTCGTGGATTGGCCTAAGACACAAAGATATACTATAAATTGAGACTAGATACTGTATATGACTTATGCCATTTATAATAGTTACCAGCAAAGCAGATTGCTGGTAACTATTCCTTGTCAACTGCCCAGTGCCACAATTGTAGACTATACGCTCTTTGGAAATCAATCGACACGGTCACTATATCCAGAGTTTTGGACTTACGTAAGCATCGTCTGCCGTCTGAATGGTGTGGTGGCGCTGAAGATGTCCACGGGACCTATACGCGTCACCCTGCTGCCCTCTGGAGAAGCCCACACCGTTATGATCGGGGACCTCCATGGCCTGCCCCCCGGCTCGACAGTCCTGATGCTCCGATTCTGAAGATATCGAATAGACCAGACATTTATTATCAGCTGGTTAGGATTACATGTTGATGTCATAATATTTTCTAATATTCAAATAACAAAGAAGCTTGATCCTGTACATTATGAATAATTATTCCAATTTGGCTATGCTGTATTGGTTTCAAAAACACATCAAATTTGTACCTTGCCTGTTGGGATCAAGCTGCAGTAGGACCATTTTTAGACTTTGATACAGTTTAGATTTAACGCCACAGTTCTTTTGCAGCTCACACAACAACACGTCTTGTTATCTTGTATAGAAGAAGTACACAGCAAAATACATTCACTGTTTCATCAGGGTTGAGGGGACAAAATATAACGCTACAATCTCCTAAATCCAATTCCATTTTCATCTAATTTAAGGCCAAATTTAAGACAGTTTAAAAGCTTTATCAAATGTAACACCCATTTAATCATTTAGACTTGGAATATGTGTCCTGTAAAAGTTCTAAAAAAGGGATTAAGATTCAGTAAGTACCAATGAAATAAGCATCCAAAATGTATTTAAGTGAATATTTCCACAAAAGCTCTAACTCAAAATAATAATCCAAACAGTCAACTATCTCAAGGTTATTTGCCAAATGAGATAGTAGCATATGATCTTATTCCATAGAAACAATAAGTCCAAGATAGATTTAAAAAGAATTGTATTAAGCTTATCACATGGGATGAGACTTTCACCCTTCTTACCTATAGTTGCTGGGGTATTCCTATTGTATCCACGGTTGTGTGTGGGAGAGGTGTATGGGGGGGTCCCGCCTCGATGAGGGCCCAGTAGTTCATGGCCTTCTCCTGCTTTGGCCAGCAGCCCCTGGTGTGGGTGGTGGAAGGCCGCAGGCACATCGTCCTCCTCCATGCTCTCGGAATGGGGCAGGCCGGGCTGTGTGGGGAGAGACTGAGGCGGCAGGTCTGGGGGTCTTATTTGCAGCAGGTGATGATAGTGTTGGTTCCCGGACGCGGGCTGGGGGGCGGGCGGCTCTAGGCTCTCCCCTTGGCTGAGCTGGCGCAGAAGCAGCATCTCCCCATACTCCTGTGGCGTGGCACTGGGGGGCGTGGGCGGAGCCGGGCCGGATCGCGGGCTCTGTCTCTTCAACAGTGCGGCCAAGTCGTGCGGGTTCAGCCTGATGTCTCCGTGTCCCGTTAACGAATGCCGCGGCGAGAGCAGGCCCTGCAGAGTGGGGGTGACGTGTTGTTGAGGGGGGCGGTAGTCTATGGGGGTGGGCGAGAGCAGAGCTTGTTGTAGTGCGGAGGGGGCGCCGTAGTTGCAACCCACGGCCCCGCTCTGGTACCCATCCAGCCCCGGAACGTTGAGGGAGGTGCCCTGGAGGTACGGACTGTAGGAACCCACCACCCCAGAAGCACCTCGAGAGGCAGGGTCTCCGGAGAAGAGATGAGGGTTGAACTGGGCCTGGTCGTAGGCTGAAGTGAAGCGGCCCAGACTGCGACTAGATGCAAATAACAGACCACCAATTAACCAAGTGTTTGTGATGAACCCTGTCAGAGCTAATACTATTTACTGGGTTTGTACAATGGCCTGTTAGGGAGATTAAAAGTTATCGCTCAATAACTGACGGATAAAACGATATATTTTGGGATTCAATATTTCTTGTCTGTACGTTTCCTTTGCAATAGTGGATAGAGACATTTTCGCTCTATAGAGTGGAGTCTGGCTATAATAAAATTCACTTGCTCATCTTCATAGTGTTTACTTTTTAATGAAATGGAAACGTCAAAAAATGAATTAACTGAGATTATCTGTATTTGACTAATTACAGTGGCATAAATTAGTTTCAATATTTTTTTTAATGCAATAATTTCCTGAAGTATTATATCAGCCATCAACCTTAGTTATCGTGACAGGTCGAGTTTTAAGGTCTTTACACTCACATCAACAATGATTTTAGCAGGTATTTCACAAACTTGCAAACCAAAATTTTAATTCCAATACATGGCTTTCAGGGATTCAAACTAGCTTATCATAGCTACAAATAAGTTGTAATCTATTGAAAGCCTCAATGTTGCTATGATCCAAAAGTTGAAGCCCATTTACTAGCCAATGCAAAATCTTGAACTCAACCATTTTTGACATTTGGTATTAACAAATGTGCATGGCACAGATGTGAAACTGGTCTATTTACATGGACTGACACAGATACTTTGCTGACCCCAGCACTAAGTGTGGCTTACACAATAGCTGGTTTATACATGGTTAAAATTGCACCAAGTCCAAAGGACTTCCTTTAAATTTAATATGTAATCAATAAAAACATAATAATTCTAGTCTACATCAAACACATTCAGAACACCAGACAGGTCTAATTAGTTCACTGAGAGCTTCAGCAAATGGGCCAAAATGAATTATGTTAGTCTCTCAGTGAAGAAAATAGACAGACACTAGTATAAAACATTAAAAAGTAGTCTACTCTGTGTGGGTCACTACAATTTCATACCCAAGTTACAACCACTCACCCAACTAAAATGAGCTGATGAATGGATGAGGATGGCATCTCAGCAAAAAGTCTTTGTTAATTTGGCATACACAAAGATCCTGGGATCTTTAAATTGCTTCACTGATTCAACAGTTATAAGGTCTATTCAAGTATATGATTCAAGGCCCATAAAAAGAAGCATGCAGGTACAAATACTTTGTTAAATTAGAAATAAAATCCAAGTTTGTCCATTGTTGGTTTGATGGTTGAAGAGGAGGCGTCACCTGTGTGTCTCAGCGTTGTCGGCACTGAGCTGTTTCCCCAGGACTCTGTGTCCACACGGAGTTGCCAGGAAACTGCCCGGCCGCTGAGCCCCACCCCCCAGCTCCACCTCCTGCACCTGGATCGTCACCTGAACACAAATAAAGCCTAAATCAGGCCTGGGATATACCAGATGTATCACAGCCAATGCAACAAAAAAGGTTGCATCCAATTTGACCTGATCATTGGCATCAGTTGCTACATAATACAAAATTCAAAATTATGAATTCATAATAAATCAGAGAGCCTCGAACATCATTCTTTCTACTGGACATGTAAGTGTATTCTTTGCTTCTATTTCTCTTAAACCTCCTAGATGAACAACTTATTTACACACATCTTTACATCTCTCAAATACAAATGTTGTTCATAGATGAGCAAAATCCCTTTCCCTCATGTTCCAAGCAGCTTTATTTAAAAAGAGATTATACGTATACACACATGCCTCAACAGCTTTGTTGAAGATGAAACATCACTTTGAGGTCTATGTAATAAAAACATGCTTGCAAACAACAAAGAGGGCTGTTAGCTTGTGTACAGTCAAAGCATTATATACAGTACCTTGCGAAAGTATTCGGCCCCCTTGAACCTTTAGCCACATTTCAGGCTTCAAACATAGAAGCTATAAAAATTAATTTTTTTGTCAAGAATCAACAACAAGTGGGACACAATCGTGAAGTGGAACGAAATTTATTGGATAATTTAAACTTTTTTAACAAATAAAAAACTGAAAAGTGGGGCGTGCAATATTATTCGGCCCCCTTGCGCTAATACTTTGTAGCGCCACCTTTTGCTGCAATTACAGCTGCAAGTCGCTTGGGGTATGTCTCTATCAGTTTTGCACATCGAGAGACTGGAATTCTTGCCCATTCTTCCTTGCAAAACAGCTCGAGCTCAGTGAGGTTGGATGGAGAGCGTTTGTGAACAGCAGTCTTCAGCTCTTTCCACAGATTCTCGATTGGATTCAGGTCTGGACTTTGACTTGGCCATTCTAACACCTGGATACGTCTATTTGTGAACCATTCCATTGTAGATTTGGCTTTATGTTTTGGATCATTGTCCTGTTGGAAGATAAATCTCCGTCCCAGTCTCAGGTCTTTTGCAGACTCCAACAGGTTTTCTTCCAGAACGGTCCTGTATTTGGCTCCATCCATCTTCCCATCAATTTTAGCCATCTTCCCTTTCCCTGCTGAAGAAAAGCAGGCCTGATGCTGCCACCACTATGTTTGACAGTGGGGATGGTGTGTTCAGGGTGATGAGCTGTGTTGCTTTTCAGATTCAGATTCAGATTCATTTATTTGCCATTTGCAGTAAAACCACATGTTTTATATGTTGTATATGTTTGGCTTTTACGCCAAACATATCGTTTTGCATTGAGGCCAAAAAGTTCGGTGAAATTTTGGTTTCATCTGACCAGAGCACCTTCTTCCACATGTTTGGTGTGTCTCCCAGGTGGCTTGTGGAAAACTTTAAACAAGACTTTTTATGGATATCTTTGAGAAATGGCTTTCTCCTTGCCACTCTTCCATAAAGGCCAGATTTGTGCAGTGCACGACTGATTGTTGTCCTATGGATAGATTCTCCCACCTCAGCTGTAGTTATCTGCAGTTCATCCAGAGTGATCATGGGCCTCTTGGCTGAATCTCTGATCAGTCTTCTCCTTGTTTGAGATGAAAGTTTGGAGGGACGGCCGGGTCTTGGTAGATTTGCAGTGGCCTGATACTCCTTCCATTTCAATATAATTGCTTGCACAGTGCTCCTTGAGATGTTTAAATCTTGGGAAATGTTTTTGTATCCAAATCCAGCTTTAAACATCTCCACAACAGTATCTCGGACCTGCCTGGTGTGTTCCTTTGTCTTCATGGTTCTCTCTGCGCTTTAAACAGAACCCTGAGACTATCAAAGAGCAGGTGCATTTATACGGAGACTTGATTACAGGTGCATTCTATTTATCATCATCAGTCATTTAGGACAACATTAGATCATTCAAAGATCCTCACTGAACTTCTGGAGTGAGTTTGCTGCGCTGAAAGTAAAGGGGCCGAATAATATTGCACGCCCCACTTTTCAGTTTTTTATTTGTTAAAAAAGTTTAAATTATCCAATAAATTTCGTTCCACTTCACGATTGTGTCCCACTTGTTGATTCATGACAACAAATTAAAATTTTATATCTTTATGTTTGAAGCCTGAAATGTGGCGAAATGTTGAAAGGTTCAAGGGGGCCGAATACTTTCGCAAGGCACTGTAATTCCTTAACCTGAGGTCAATACTAAAAAGTTTTATAGATTAACCTGCTGTTGCTGAGGTACCCCCTGTGCCAGTGGGACTGTGGGGCGGGCGGACACTGCCTGCTGATTGGCTGGCAGAGACACTCGTGGTAAAGCTGTGGGCGGCGGGCTTCCACTCTGGCCCTGGTAAAGTGCTGGGGCTCCGTACTGCACCGGTGACGGACCTCCTGGGTGGAGAAAAATATGTATGAGAAGAAAGTCACAGCATTGATCTGACCTTCCCCTGCTTAGCACTCAAATATGACAAGAGAAGCCTTTCACATGCAGGTGTATAACCACAGATGTTTAAGTCAATTATACAAATAACATTTATTAGAAAACAAAAATAGTTCATAAATCAATTGATTCATTACAGCCCTCATGTAATTCTTCCCAAAAAAAGTAATTGGGTTAAAAGGAAGTAACAATTTCTATGAATTGTTTATGCTCCAAAGTAGCAGAATAGCTACAAGAGCTCGTGAATCCTGACTTCCAACAAACGCTTCCCTACATTCTCCTCACATCTTTTTCTTTCATTTATTTAGCTTCAGGGCTCCATCTTTTGTCTTTTTCCAAACATTTCTGAAAAAAAGCTCTAGAACCTAAAGGGTTATCTGACAGAAAACATAATTTCCAATTGTTGTTCATGATGTCAACTGCTCCATGAGAAGAGTGAGATGCGCACCATGTCCTTGCATTAAGGCTGCAGAGCCAGGCGGAGGACTCTGGTTGGGCTGTCTGAAGAGATGGTTGCTGGGGTGAGTTGGAGGAGGACTGGAGGGCTGGATGCGGAGCCTGAGGGAGGAAGAGTAGGAGCAGAGAAAGACACGATTGTGATGTAACAGTTGGAGTCGATAATACTCCCCCGGGATCAGGTTTAATGTTGCCTATGACTAATCCTTGCAATGCGTGTACCTCTGCAGCTGGTGGGTTAGATGACTGGGCTGGCTCTCTCCGTGGCCTAAAGACAGACCCTGGAGAAATAAGAATGGAAACACGACTTTAAAAAAATATTCAGCAAAAATATTAGATTTAGCAAATAGGGATCTTAGGGACATAAACTTAAAATGGCATAAACTCAGTTCAATAATTGGCAGATATGGACAACAATGCCATTTGAAAAAATGCTGCATACTATATTCGGCTCGAGCTAATATATTCAATCAGAACAATATTCATAGATGTATAGATGGATTATTAGCGAACAATACTTCATCTCTACTGCGCATGATGTTTGCAGAAACACAACCACAACTTGCTGTGTTGTTGGCTATACAACCTGCGTTGACAAAAGCAATAAAACGCATCAGTTTTGAGCGAGTATCCGGCCACTGAGGTCTGGCCATTGAGACTCTTCATTTATCCTAGCACCTCCCCGGTGACTCATTTAGACGTATCCTCTTCACCAATGCTTATTTTAGGTCTAGTACAGCTATGTACCCGCAAACACCGAATCCCCACGCTGTGTGATTACAACAAAGTCAGGGTGAGGCTATGTCAACGAGTGGGAGGGAGGGTTAGGGCGAGCTCACAAGCAAAGACATCATCTATATGCAAAAAATTACTGTAATTATAAATATAAAAATGGCATATCATCCAAATTATCATCACACATATGATATGGAAGGACTGTGAAACATAAAGCGCGAAATATGGGACCATTACAAATATCACCCTCACGTGGGCTGTATGTGGATTATGCTTACTTGAGTCACTCTTTCCAGTGACAAGAAGCAGTCTTACAATAAATTAATACATTTGTCTCTTTGCATGAAAATAGATTTAACAAATCTTTGAATAACCAAAAGCATATTCCATTGGCAAAGAGCTACTTTGCAAGCCCTTGCTGGAACTCAGAAAATTAAGCAAACTGCGTTATAATTTTTTGCATTCACGCAGCCAATCAGCTCTTAGCCCAAGGCATCAAATAGTCTCTCTCAAAGGCCTCTTACGAGTATAAAAAATATTTTTAAAACAAGATCAAGACCGCATGTGGTACGATTTGTTCATATTTTAGACTCTTACTGTCAAAATCCTACCTGGATTTGCTGGTGGAGGATTTGCTGTTGCTCTTGCTGGTAAAGAATATGCTGCTGCTGGGTGTGCTCTAGGATCTTCTGGTCCTGATGTGCAGCGTACATCTTCTGTAGCTGCTCACACTCCTACGCCACACATTATGCAACATGCATTTAGCAATTTAGAACATTAAAAATGTTTTGAATAACAAAAAGTGTGCTTTGTTAAACTACTACTACTATAGATATAAAACATACTAATTCTATGTTAAATGAAAACTAATGTTTTGGTTGAACCACAGATTTTGCAGTCTACATAAAAATGCAAGAAAATATAACCCTTAAGTAGGTCACTTACAGTAAGTGTTTACACCCCCTGATGAAAGCCCCTTAGATAATCCATGTCGCAGAGCCAAGATGCCTGATTTTTTTTGTCCTTTTACAAACAAGTTCATTGTATGCAATAAGTACCATTGATAAAGGATGAACGTTACAGTAGCCCATACCCATGATCAAAAGTCAATAACTCAGATTCATATATATCCTCAATCCCGACCAATACATTTCATTGCACATACGATTCACAAGCCATTTCCCTTCTTACGTTTCTCTTTTTCTGTTAGCATTGGCCAGTACTCATGCATCACCTGCTTGAGTTGCTTGATGAGGCTGCTGTGCTCCAGTTGGGCTTTGAAGGCCTGGATGGTGGCAGCTCCGTCTGAGAACCTCCGGACAGGAGAGAAGCGCTCCATGGGCAGATGAAGAGTATCCTTGTAATTTGACCTGGAGGTCGATACAAAACCACAGCATTCACACAGACAGAGACATGAGAGAAAGAAATGTACAGGTGTGAGAAGTTGGATACACCATATTAGAATAAATATACGTTCACTAGCATGTCAAGTTTTTTCCACTACACTACACTACAGTGGCCTTCCAAAACTGGATGTGACAACTCATGTTTTTGAGAATGCAAATTAAGATTTGCACAACTCAAAAGCTCCCATCAATAAGGTTTTTTTTCTGAGCGTTGTTCAACAGACAAAGATTTTCAAACTCAAGATGCAAAATGAATCAATGATGTACAGTTTTTTTTTTTATTTGGCACCCCTAACATTTATTATGATTTTTCTTTATACATCATTGGTTGTTTGAATAATACATTCCAGTGAAATATATAAAATAGGAGCCAAAGTGATATTTGAGAAGTGAAATATTATTCACAGAAAGTTTAAAATTTTTGTAAACTTTCTGCACATGCCTAATTTTTACTAAATTAGGCATGTGCATAAATTGAATTGATTTCAATACTTTTAGCACTAATGTTTGGAACTCAAATAGAGTTGAAAATGCTTGATGAGGCCAGTGTGCTCCAGTCCGGCTTTGAAGGCCTGGACGGCGGCCGCGCCGTCTGAGATTGTAATCTCAGTGACCCTTGACCTCAATACACAAGTGAATCCAATCATGAGAGAGAATTGATCAACTTAAATATTTTAAGTGTTTCCTCTTCCCTGAAGAGTGACCTGAACACAAAGATTGTTCAATGTCATGGTTTAGGAAAAGGATACAAATGCTATCACAGAGATTTAAGCTTTTGGTTCAACTTCAAACTGTGAGAAACATTGTGAGGAATTGGAAGACCACAGGCACAGCTCTAGTTAAGGCCCAAAGTGGCAGACCAGGAAAAATCTCAGAAGATAAGCAGAAGGCCAGGATGGTGGGAACAGTCAGTCAGCCCAACATCAGCTGCAGATTGTTTCACTGTGCGTTGTATGTCCTTGTATAAAGCGCACTTTATACAAGGAGATGGTGTGGGGACGGAAAAGCCTTTTCTCTGAGCACGCCCCCAACAGGGCCACTTGAGAAATGCTAAAGCACTTAATTTTGGAATAAGGTGCTGTGGACTGATTAAACTAAAATTACATGGAGTAAACAGAACACAGCATTCCAAGAAGAACATTTTCTGTCAAAACTAAAATGTGGCGGTGGTTCCATTCTGCTGTGGCGCTGTGTGTCCATTGCAGGCACTGGGAATAAAGTTGAGGGGAGCATGGATTCTACTCAACATCAGCAGATTCTGGCGAACCATGTCCAGGAATCCGTGACAAAGTTTATGTCGTGCCGTGGCGGGATCCACCAACAAGAAAACTACAAAATCTACTGAGGCATTCATGCAGAGGAACAAGCACAACGTTCTGGCATATCCCACAAATGTTCAATAATATTTAAGTCTGGGGAGAGCTCTAAAACGGACTGCCCTTCATCGGAACGAGAGATGATCTGCAAAGAAGAATGGTCCAAAAAACCTTCCAGAATCCAGATAAGTGTTTAGAATTTGTTTTTTTCTGCAAAAGTACATTTAAAAAAAAAAAAGTCTCGCACTTTTTCTGTAAATGATACAAACTTTATTTCACTTCTCAAATATTACTGTGTTTGTCTCTGATATAATATATTTCAAGTTTGCATACCACTGTAGATGTCACTGAAAGCTTGGCTTTAACAGAAGCATATTTTAAGGAATAAAACAAGCATTAAAATCTTTTACATGTCTCTCACAGGTCAGAAAGCAACAAGGTTTATATATATATATTATATATATACACACACGAGTTGAAGGACCTCATTCATCCAGGAGGATTTCAAGAAAAAGTTTCACAGACAGTCACCTTTGATATGTTAAACTATCTATGGCAGTTGCAAACACACAAGAACTTTGCTACATCATAACAATGTTGAGAGAAGTCTGGAGACGTGTTTTTCTCATTTCCTTTGAGACCTCTCTTCAACCTTGTTTTGGGACAAGCTGAAATTGTCTCATATTCACTTACCTTTTTGTTCCAAGTTTGGTTGGAAGAAACAGCTACATATTACACATTATTATGCAGGCCTTCCTGAGAAAGCCCTGTGCATGTACAGAATGCATGTGGAGCGTGCCAGTGCAGGACATGTGTGAGTAAGTGACTGTGCGAACACAGGGACCATCCCTCACCGAATGTGTGTGTCGGTGGCCCACAGTGGCCTCTGCCGGGGGCCCTGGGGCCGCTGTGCATCTGCAGAGGGCTCGCCATGCGTTGTGCTCATGGGCGTGTGCGTCGTGTGCCGCTTGGTGCGGTTCGCCAGGTACCTGGGCCGCAGGGAGGGGAGGAGTGAGGGAGACAGGAAGCAGTGCCGGTCAGCTCTCTGTCCTCTTTGGCTAAAGGAGTGGGGGGATACTCCCACCCTTCCCACCTCTGCCAATACGTGCCATCATTCATTTCATCTTAGCCAATCAGAAAACACACACTGCATTACACCATAGATGGATGGTAGAGCTTATGGGAAGCCCGAACCGCAGCTTCCAATTTCAGTATTGGAAATGTTTTTTTTATTTGCAAGCTTGAGTTAGCGAAGCTGTGTAAGAAAGAATGAGAATGTCTGGAGAATAATTTGGCAGTTTTGGAAACAATAGAGACCAAGCAGCTCTTGGCCAGAGTTTTAGAGATAAGACGGGTGGATTTGGGCAGATTTAGTTTGTGGCAGAAGGCACTTGCACAATGGAGAAAGGAGGAGAGATGGTGTAAGCACCGCAGCAGAGGCCACCACCCACAGGAAAAGCACAGCAGCCTGAAGGAACGCACTCCCAGCAACCCAGGACACCAAGAAGGAGGGGCCATCTGAAGTGGACCGCTGAACAGACCCGTCAACAGAACTACAAGAGTTCAACGAAATGTCAAAGGGGGCACTGCTTAAAGTGTCTTATTGAGAGCTTTTCATAATAATTGGTTATTTCCACAGGGGGTGAGTCTTTCAGTGAGTCCACTTTAAACAGCTTCTCTGTAAGTTAAGCCATCACCAAAACACTTTTCCCAAAAGAATTACCTCTGCACTGCCTCCTGGTCTGGCTCCCCATCTGAGCCCTCCTCATCCACCGGAGCCACCGGAATTGGGTGCTAAACAAATAGACAAATAGATAGAAAGTCATACAAAAGATTTGAGCTAATATGGTTTAGCATACATATAAAAAAAATTAACACCCGCCTCATTTTGGCTTGTGCACAAAAGTTGGGCATGCCCAAATGTATTTGCTTATTTAAAAACATGTCACATGCTTGTGTGACGCATCATAATAAAGCTAGGACCTTCTAGTTTAAATATAGTAAATATACACTAAAATAATGTATGTCATTTCTATTTCACTCTGCATCCTTTGAAGTTTGGGAAAAAAAACTTTTGCCTTGCCAAAAATTTTCTAAAGGCCCTAAAAAAGGCATACTTCATTGTTTGCTCACAATATTCAAACTCTATGGTCATTGTGCTGTTGGAAACACCTTCATTCGAACCATTCGGAACCAATTTGGCACACTTTTATGATGATGAAACTGACATTTCATCATCATAAAAAACATACTTTTTATTTTTGGTACTTATAAGTTACTAAAAAAATTTCTAAGTTCTTTTTTGTGAACTGAAGTGTAAATGCATGTAATATAAGCACTGCTCCGACAGCGTCTGTCTCCCTGCCTTTATGCACGGCTTCTACTGACACAAACCAACCCAGTAACACATGTCCCACCCCTTGCGTGAAAGCTTTGGCTACACCGACATGTCAATCATTTGGCAAAAGACCTCTTCCCTAGCCGTCTGGCTAACAACAAATGCAGACAGGCCATGCGCAAATGTTTGCTTGTCGTCTTCACGGACCTGTTGCAGACTAACGCAGGCACCTATCTCTTCATGAGTGAATGTCTCATTTTGTTGCTAACGAGTTGGGGAACACGAGCATACCCTGTGTGTGGGTGAAAAACAAAGCTAAAGATCCGCTAACAGTGAAAGAGCAGCATCTTTGCTCTTCCAGAACACTTTTTTTGCTAAAAATAAATGCACATTTTTGGATTATTTATCCAGACTGGATTATCCTTTGGGAAATACAAGTGGATATTCTTTTTACATGGAGATTTACAGAGTGAAAGAGCTATAGGAAGCTGGGAGGAGATCTGATTTATTTATGGAGCACAAGAGAAAAGGTAAAACACTTTTTCGGAAGTGATTTAATTTTGTGCCCATATTATATGTTATATCTTTCGAATGCAAAGTCTGATGTAGTTTATACTTGTATATAAATATAGATAAGAAAAAAAGATGTAAAATGATATACAGTTGGGGATTGGGGTTTAAAATACAACTGCTATTGCCAGCAGAACATTTTAAAAATAATAATAATAATAATAATAATGTTAAGAGGTTAATAAATGTGACTGAAAAACCAAAAATAACAATTCTGTGCAAGCCCTGATTTAGAACAGACAAATATAAAATTACTCACACTTTAACAGTTTTTCTAAAGAGGTCTAAATCACTTTCAAGGAACTTCAAGACATATTGGAACCTCTGTAAATCAGATATTGGTGATACACTTACACCCACAGGACTGGTGACCAGAGGAGACGGGCCCCGAGGCCTTTTGAGGAGCTGTGCATGAAGCTGAATGTTGGCCCCACCGTCGGAGGCTCTGCGCCCAAGCGGACCCATGCCATTGAGCAGCTGCAGGGTGGGCGGCTGCAGTAAGGACTGCTCCTGTAAAGTAAGATGATGAAAGAGATGGTCAACAAAAGGTAGAACTATCATTTGGTGTGCTTACAAAACCAGGACCACATATTCATATTATATTTTAAGCATCACCACTTGGGCAAGATCTTTTTTAATATAATAGGATCATCTGAAGCAGCTTGTATCCAAACATTCCAAGTTTGTTCATTCAATTGTTGTACCTTGTATTCCAGCTGCTGTGTGGGCTGCAGGCTCTGTGTGGGCATGAGCGTGTGCATTTGCCCCATTGTGGGAGCCAGAGTGGGGAAGGGCGGCTGTGGGACCACCCCTCGAGGGAAACCAGGAGGCAGCTTCTGTAGATCTTCCTGTCCCTCCGTCCTGTCCAGAGAAGACAGTACAAGAGTTATGTAAAAATGTCCTACAAAAGCAGCATTTACATGTAGAGACTGTAGATAATAATCCAACGGTTGAGTTAGAAAGAAGAATTTACAATTTCAGCTGAAATTACATTTAAATAAGCAAGGAAAACAATCAAGCTACAGTGCAGTACATGGCAGTATACAGATCTCAAAAGTTTTTAGTCCGTAAAATATCAAGAAGCTAAAATTATTCAAACTTCGATGGAAATGTTTTTTTATATATAAGACGTTTGTAAATGGGAGTGAATATAAACATCAGTTTTATAGCTGCCATTCATTTGTAAATTATTAGTAAAATCATTAACATCGGTTGTCACCTTTGGTCTGGAACCCCCACAGTGTGCCTCCTCATGGACAGATATCGAGCCATTGCTTCTGGAGAAGGTTCTTCCCCTTCATCGCTGTCCAGAGTCATGTTACCATCAGGCTGATAACAAAATTATGTTCAAGTCACTTGAAAATTACTTTAAATTGTCCACATTCACACTGCCAAATGAACAACTATAACATTTCAGTTTATGACTTTTAATAAGTAGTGGGAAAAAAAAAAAGTGAGTAGCCTGTGACTATGGAGGGTTTTGTTTGATTTCCTGCTGCAATGCGGGATCTCACACAATGTTGTGCACAACAGTATTTGTGACTCAGCAGTGAGGTGGTGCATGTTGCATGTGTGTGCACTTTTGAGCCATTGTATATGTGAGTAATCACAGCTTTTTGAGCTGCAGTAGCAAATGTGTGTGGTCAAAATATGAAAAGCACCAAATGTTACTGTATAGAACATTTGACTCTTTGAACTTCAGAAATCCTTTTTTGTATAATGTTAGATTATAGATAGATTACAATTCTAATGTATTAATTTGACTCACCTCCACTATCTGGTTCTCTGGGTTGATAAGCTGGACTTGGGGGACGGTCATGCTAACTGGATTACCTTGTGGGTCTGTCTGCTGGGGATAAGCACAAACAAAAGGTTAGGTGAGGATTGACCTAAACATTTACCAATCGTCTTAGGAGGTGTGGGACTAACATATGTAGGTAACAAGATCACTCTCATTGAACGCACGTTAGAACATTGGATCTCTGCCATTTATGGCTGCTTACCACATCCACTAATGTAGATCCACTAATGTAGTGCTACTAACAGAGCTTCTAAACCTCTATGCAGTCACTGTCTGACAGCTTGAGCACTTGATTTGATTGTCTTTTATTGAAAGTTAAAGCACAATGATTTAACTTTGTTCCTTCTGTTATTAAAAAGAAGAAACAAATCAAATACTGAAAAGTTAGTTAAAGTAAGTTAAAAGGAAGTTATTACTATGTGGAATCCCCAAATATGGGGTGAAAAGCACCCACATAACATGATGCCGCAACCTCCATATCTCATTCTGGGGATAGTGCACTGAGAGCAAGTAGCAGTTTTAATTTTGCAGTTGGGCCAAAGAGTTTATTGTTGGTCTCATTGGACCACAGCACCTTCATTCACATGTTGAATGTGTCCCGGCTTTGCATTTTGGGATTTTGGGTCAACACTAAATATTTTTTTCATAACATAACACAATCATATTTCTTTCATGCCACAGTTGTCTATTACTTTGAGTCGGATTTGAAGGTAAAAAGCATATATATCTGTGGTTGCAACATAACAGAAAGTATAAGACTTTGCAAGGCTCAGTATACATTGTCTTAGGGGCAATGTATATATTTATATGAGTTTAAAAAAAACTTTACCGGAACAGAATTGAGAGGATAACCAATCTGCCGTGGTGTTGGTGGAGCCACTCTCAGTGTCTTGTGTTTCTTGAGGCGATCGGCCAACAGGCTGTAGATGGCGCTGTAGTGATCATAGGCATCTGTTTGCAGAGACTAGAGAGATAGGATTGCACAAGTATCAATACATGGACTCAGCATCATTGGTAAATGACTATTCTTTGTGAATATGATTTATAATGTATGTGAGGAAGTGTAAAATTAACCTGAATTGTGCGTTCTCTGTCCAGGCCCATTTCACACATGGCTATAAGAACCTGTTCATTTATGAGCTCAGTATCGCGCTCCGTCTTCACTTGTTCACATTCAACTATTAGCTGCACAAGGAAAGAAAGACAATTTAAGAATATATATATTAAAGAAATATGTCTTTAATATAAAAATCTTACTTGCAATGACAAAACGATAAATGGGTTTTAAATACACAGTGGGTAGTCTGCTGCATGTGAAAGTCTGGATGAGGGTCTTACCCGGTCAAAGTCTGGATCAGGGTCTCCTTGTCTCATCCATTTATTCTTACAGATCTGCTCCATGGACAACCGTCTGCTCGGCTCCAACACCAACATGTGTCTGATCAAGTACTCACAGTCTGACAGCACAAAATATCCACAACTTGAGGAGAAAGGGCCATAGTGTCTTCATCGAACAGCACTTGTCATTTTATTTTTTTAATTCTATCTATGGGAAAACTGACAATATTGGTAATCTCTTTGATATTCAAGCCAATATAAACTATGATTCCCAAGTTTGAATAAACTTCTTATTGATAGCTAAATATTTGAGTGATGTTACATCTACATATTTGTAATTCTGAAGAAATTAAAGTCTTGTGAGACCAGTTTAGATCAAAAACACATTTGGAAAGCTTTTGCCACAGCCCCATTTTAGTCAACTAATCGATTGACAAGGCATGCCTTTTGTTGACATGGGATTTTATTGTTCAACAACGGCGCAAACCTTAACACGAATCTTTCGGTGTAAGTAGTGTTCTTACGGGGCTACTTTTCTTCATTTTTGGCATTCAATCAATCAATGAATTTATTTGAGCAGGTCATACAAAACAAAAAACAATCCAATAGGAAAACATTTCAAGAAAAAGTAGACACAGCTCAAAGGGAGTAAGCCGAAGTAAAATACTTGTGTGAGCTTACCCCAATGACATGGCATTCAGGATACACGCAAATGTACAAGGGGCACAACACACAACATTTCATAACTTTTGAAAATGCTATAGTTCCTTTTCATTTCCACACTCCAAGATTATCTAATATTCTTTCCTGTCCACATTGCCATTGCTTCCCCCTGGCTCCTTTGGAAAAGTTGTTAAAAAGTCTTACCTGTGGACATAAAGAATGGGATGCGAAACTTTCCACTCAAGACTCGTGCTCGCAAGTTTTGTAGAGTGCTGCCATCGAAAGGTAAGGCTCCACACACCAACACATACAACACCACGCCTAAACTCTGTATGCAGGGAAGAAGGTTTGAGAAAAATTTGCAGGTGATGCATTTAAGTAGCAGTGCCCTTACCCATATATCTACTTTAGGTCCATCATATTCTTTGCCCTCGAACAGCTCTGGTGCAGCGTACGGAGGGCTGCCACACCAGGTTTTTAAAAGTTGGCCTCGAGAAAATAGGTTACTAAAACCAAAATCTGAAGGAAGGAGAAATGCATTATGGAATGAATTTAATACAGAAAACGTGTACTGCAATTAATGCAATTTAATGTCATAAAGAAAAACTAATCAGACAGAAACAAAACAAATGAATTTCATTGTTTCAATGCAATAAATGACTGAGTAAGAATAAGGCTTAAGGCAAATGAATTAAAAAGGCCTTCATAAGGGCGGCTCAGTTGCAGACCACATTTGATTTTATTTGGCTTTATTCATCAATACATCCATGTCCACAAAGCTTGTGCGGTTGAATATGTACATGTTTTATCCTATTATATAAAACAAAAAAAACATCCAGTTTCAGATGCAAAATGGAATAAACCATTAGGCTTACATCATTCATCTGTGGTGCCATTAAATAGCTCAAGCTAATCATCTGCTAAATGTAGATATAAATAGTTTTAATGTGGATAGGTACCTGCTATTTTAATGTTTAGGTTGTGGTCCAACAGCAGGTTCTCGGCCTTCAGGTCCCTGTGCACAATGTTGCGGCAGTGGCAGAAATGGACAGCTGCCACAATCTGTTTGAACTTTTTCCTTGCATCCTTTTCTGCCATTCGCCCGTGAGCCACCAGATGGTCTGTGGATTTTATGTACATTTATTTAGAAAATAAAAGTAATCAAAAACGAGTAACTTTCCAACCACAGCATAGAGTTTAATTTATCAAGGACAATGTGCAGTGACATTAAAAAGATGGTTGCACCAGATTTAGTACTATACTACTTTCCATCTGTAGTCTTTGACAATACAATCATATAACATACATATTAAAATACAGTTCAATAAGAAGTGCACTTTAACAACATACATACTAAAATACAGTTCACACAGATTTCTAACAGCAGGTTTAAGAACTTATCAAGGTCAGGTTTTTTTTCATAACATCACACAAGAAACATTTTTTTCCAGTTAACACAGGTTCGGTCATAATATTAAAAAGTCTTCCATACTAACAAAATATTTGATACCAATTTTGATACCTTAGTGATTATGTTTATTAATAAATGCTGATATTGGACAATACATGGTCAATTTTAACTCAAAATAATACTTTTCACAGGGCCATAAGGTTTTATGTATTACAGCATGGGTCAAATGTAGAGAACACAATTTCCCTACTGGGATAAATAAAGTGTACTGATATAGTTTAAAAATCTATCAAGAAATGTCAAATGTGATCTTCTTTGTTTAATTTTCTTATTATTGATACTTGAATATCTAGTTGATGTATTTAACCTGTGGAGTCAAACGTTTTATAAAGGACACAAACATCCCACAGTGATTGGGACCTCCAGAGCTGCTTTACCATGGCTGAAAAGGTTAACCTAATTATTATTTTTGATTACAATTGAATTGCCTCAACTTTTCAGCTACTTTCTTTATCAATTCCCCACTGTGGGACAAATAATACAAGTTTCCTTATCTCAACTTAATCATTTTATAATCATGAAGGATAGACAGTGGGGAAAAGTAATATCTAAAAAAATATATAGATGATGGATCTGTTAGATTTAGCTCCACAAGTGTCTCTGCACAGTAGAACAATTTAGTTTGTGAGAGCAGAGAGGAGAAAGTACAATCTGTTAGTGTTTGATGATTTTTTTCATGATTAAAAAACCAGGAACTCAATAAATCAAACGGTAATAGTGCTGTAAAAGTAAACAACACACACAAAACATCCACTTTACTCAAGAGCAAATACATTTAATGCAAGGCTTAAAAGCAGTAGACTTTCCCATTTTTGAGAACGCAGTCACAAGTTTCCAAATTTAAAGTAAGACACAATTGATCCAAGAAGAACAAACTAGATACATAGATAAAATCATTGGTAACTCCCTTACCAAATATTTCTCCGCCGCTGGCGTATTCGGTGACGAGATAGATCATTCTTTCTGTCTCCATCACCTTAGGACACAAACATAAGCCAAAGTGAGCAGAAGTTAAGGTTGAGTGAATATAAACATCTGTTAGTCTGTGGCTTGTGAAATCAAGTCTGAATTTTATTTCCTTATTTTCAGCGAAACAACTTCATCGCCACAAAAAAAATTCCCAACACTACATACAAATTAGGGATGTAAAAAACTATGAATTTTCCTGACCGACCACCGAGCCTCATTAACCGGTTGAAACCGATTAACAGCATAGTTCAAAATATTCCACGTTCTTTGAAATAACAGCCATTTCGAGCTTCGTACTTCTCATAAGTGTATCTATGCCTTCTACGGGATTCGAGCTGAGACAGCGGCGCCAAAACCGGCAACAGCTTCGGCACCTTTGCGCACAGAGAACTGCTTTTTTAATCTTCCTAATCTTCTGTGCTGCGGGTTAAAACAAACTTTTTAGCGGCAAACAACGCAGCAAGCTAATGTTAAAAGTTAGGCTTCCGTTTAATCTTACAATCATTCCCCATATTATGTTTTAGTCTAGAAATGTGTAGACATTCATATATTCTAATCAACTTGTCCACTAAATGTATGTTCTTGTACTTTGTTTCAATTGCTAACAATCTCCTATCAAGAGGACATACAGACACCACGTCTTCATAGGCAGGTGTAATTATAGCCAAAGTAGCGACATCATATTTTTAACCACGCAGCATACATGTGTGAGGTCCCAGGTGTCTGTGGGAGTTGTACCTGAAAGAGCCGGATGATGTGGGGATGCTTCAGGAGCTTCATGATCTGCACCTCTCGGAAAATCTTCTTCAAGTTCTCGTCATCCAACTGTGTCTTGTCCACAATTTTTATAGCCACCTGCAAAGAAAAGCAAGAGACATTAAGTCAAGAATACATATAAAAAACATATTGCATATGGCATTTATACAAAATATTGCGTAAATGCCAAATCTGAATTGCAGATATTTTACATCAACATTAGTATGATTCCACATGAATATTTTTTGGTGGGCCGTAGGAACCGGTACAGAACTGAAAAAAGTAATAAACTAGTTTAATGTTAATTAGATTTACGTATGAAAAATGCAACCCACCACATTTACACTCAAGATAAAAAACAAAAATGTGTGGGTTAAAGCCGTAGGCCACATTTTTTCAAATAGGCATTTATTATAGACCCTCAGGCGCTAAAGTTATGCAATAGTTTTGTTAAGACTCTAATAGGCGAGTCTGGAATATCAGTGCATTGAAACGTCACAAATTCCACAAGAACGACTAATTTACCATGTAATTGTTCATTTAGAAAAGACAACACTCGTCACTGGCCAGCAATATTGATGTGTGCAAACTGTTGAAGTGGACTCTTGCCTCTTGTTTGGGAAAGCTGACCTGAACCTTCTCCTCTTGCATAACTGCAGGGTCCTGAACAAAGGCTCCAACAATGTGGACGGTGATGGCGTGTGACAAATACGTAGAAATGGCCAGAGATGCCTTTAATGACTTAATCAAGTGAAACTAACAAAGCAGCCTGGAAGCAGGCGCCAAAAATAGATGCAACAGACACAGAATATGGAAAGCATTCATCCTGCGGTGAGAGTGAGAGTTGGTGGGACATCCCAAGCTGCTCTTTTGCCTGATGGCCAACTGCAGATGGGAAAAGCCTGACTTCCTGTGCTGGCAGGAAGAGGAAGCGAAGGAAAGCCAAGCCGGGGACTCCCAGGAGAGAGCAGAGGACTATAGCTAAAAATTGCTTCTAGGTTATTATGTTTGTAACACTTTGTTTTGATAATCAGGTATATCAATGTTTGTAAGTAGCCTTTACTAGTGCAATATATTCTGGTGGTCAGGAGTTGTAATACACTTTGAAAACTGCAAAAGTGAGAAGATATGGAAAACATTTTCATAATTACATCAAACTTTTAATTTGCCTGTTAAATATTTTGTGTAGTTAATTGCCAATTCTCTAGATTCATCTACAGCTCCTCCCTCAATCAAACATCCAATGTAGTGTTCACAGAAGTTTCACAAAGAAATACTCTACTGGTCTTAGCCACGACACATGGGCATACTTATTGGATGCCAAATAACTCACTTTGTACATGTTCAAAGTCTGTACCTCTAGTGAAGAAGCGAAAGGATGAGCAGATTTCTGACTTAAAGTCATGAAAAGCAGATGTAAAAGGCTTTGTCATTTGTACACTTCAGTCTGGATACAACCTCCAAGAAAAAGACATGGAAATGCATTCAAATACATTGTAGGGTTGAATGGCACAGATGGCATTAGGAAATTATCTTTATCGAGTTTTCCAATATCCATCATATAAAGCCTGGGGACGGTAAAAACAGGAGACGGCTTTTGTACTAGGCCAATGGCGGCGTATCCGAGCGATTATGCTGCTGTTTTTTAATGTCCCACTGAATAAACAATTCCAATATTGATATTGACATGTCAAATTAAGGTAGACACTGCATTGTCAATACTTCACCACCGCACGAACCACACTGTACACAAGATAGCTGCAGGATTAACTTCACAAGGAAAACATTTAAAATAGTGCATGGTCAAAGTTAATGAAGAGGAAAGGACATGCGTATTCATAAAGCCAATGACTAAACATAATAGCTGCCACTACTTAATTACAACATTATGAAGAGTTCTGTACTCTTCATTGTGTTCAGTGGATCACACACTGTGCTGCAATGTTTTGCATGTCCTCACTGAACCTGCAATGGCCTGAAGATTTTTTTTGATTATTATAAGAGACCAATGACTAATGATTTATTCTTGAAAAGGCCATTACTAAAATAGTTCAATGTTTAAACACTTGCAGCTACTATTAAACCAGGCACACATTACTGTAAATATAGTCTGGCTCCTACTCTCATCCAACCAGCAAGTTATTGTTTAGCCTCCCTCACTGTCCATAAACACTTGACAAATATAGTGATAATAAAAGGCAATAGAAAAACACATGCACCTGTTTACAGTTCAAGCAGAAAGGTCTGTTCTGAACATGGAGCAGTTTGGACTGAATGAGAAAAATACAATTGGTGGCACTAACGTTAATAACTTTGGCAAATTATTATTATTATTTTTAAACAAACATTAATACATATGTGTGAGGGCTGACTCCTCCCTCACAATTGGAGCTCACACTCCTGTGAGCTGACTCCACCCACTCCAGCTGAGGGTGTTACCTCCAGGCTCCACCCTATGGCCTGAACCATGGCAGGTCCAGAAGAGGGGATGTTTGGGGAGATTCATTTGAGTTTATATTCTATATTAAGTATAAGCATATATTAGCATTTTATTATTATTATTATTATTATTAGTCATATTATTACTATTAACTTTATCCTTAATTAGTTAAGTAAATGTATCTGTTTTGTGTAGTCTTGTTTACCCCCTTTAGTTAATAGTTGGTCTGATCATCCAGCTTAAATGTTCCCCTGGTGTGTCTTGTGTTAGGTCAGTGTTTGTCATGTTCAGTTGTACATTTGATTTTGGCCTCATTTATTTGTATTGTTTGGCTCATTTTTTGGCTAATTAAAAAGCCTTAGTAATTAAACAGTTTGTGTGTTTCCTGCTACACCATCGGTCCCTTACATTTGGTGGCAGCGGTGGGATTGATCTGGTCAAGAACACACCTGTTTTGATAATTTTTTGTAATTTTCCACCTGGATCCTTCGGCATATTTTTTTTGGGGAGAAATGGGGAAAGACAAGCCCGTCACCCGAGGTGGAGCTAAAACCGCTGGGAAAGTTGATACAATAGTGGAACATGGAGAAGAATCTGAAGAAAGTCAAGAGGAAGTGAATGAAGAGGAAAATGGAGCCAGAGCAAAAGGAGAGGCTGGGAGCAGGGAGCCAACAGTTTCAGACCTGGCAGGTATTTTACAGGCCTTTATGGGACAGCAGCAGGAGCAAGAGGTAAAACAGGAAAGAGAGAGAGCACAACAGGAACATAGATTTCAAGCTTTACAACAGCAATTTCAACTCCTTCAGAAAGAGGTGCAGGAATGCTCTACACCTGATCCTGAGCCTCCAATCTCAATGCTCAGTCCTGCAGAGGAGAAAGCTCCTTCCTCATGGGCCTACACAAGCCTAAAGCCTAAAGACTCCACAGCATGCCATGTGCTCACAGGTCAGTCTCAATCATTTCATGAACCAAGGCTTGAAAAGTTAACAAGTGAAGATGATATTGAACACTATCTCATAACATTTGAAAGAATTGCAGTAGTTTGTATAATAATATTATATAAGATGGTCTCAAACAGACTGGGTTTTCCGGCTTATTCCTTTGCTCACTGGGAAAGCTAGAGCTGCTTATGTGCACATGGATATGGATGAGGCCCATGACTATGAAAATGTTAAAATGGCTATTTTACAAAAGTATGATATAAATGCAGAGACCTACAGACAAAGGTTCCGGTCTCTCAGCGTTGACCCAGGTGAGAGCCCTAAAGAACTTTATGTAAGACTGAAAGAGGTATATAGGAAATGGATCCAACCTAAATGCAAAACTGTGAATGAAGTCAATGAACTGATTATAATGGAACAGTATTTGAGGATGTTGTCTCCAGAGCTCCAGGTTTGGATTAAAGAGCATGACCCCAAGACTGCTTCAGACGCAGCCACTCTGGCAGAGGTGTTTGTGGCAGCTCGGAAGAAAAATCAATCCTGGACCAATACCGCATGGAAGGCTGGGAGAGAAGCTCGGAAGCTACCTCAACCGCACCACCAGAGGGCACCACCTAGTAAAATGCCTTCAAGTGAAGGTCAGTCAACGGGGCCACATACAAACCTGATGCCGAGGTTAAACAACAGTCTGTAGTCATTAGTCAGATGTAAATAATTGTGTGATGTATATTTTGTATGTATTGAATTGTGTCTGTGTGATTTAGACGTGTTGTATTTTATCTGTATTTTAATTAGGCCATTCAGTCTTTCTATTTATCAATTCTTTGCACACTGTAAACCTGCTGTCACGTTGCCTCTGCCTCAGGGACTACGGATGAAAATTAGCTTGTAGCTATATCCGGTCTGAACAATACATTTATTGTGCAATGTCCCTGTCAAATAAACAAATAATAATAATAACAAAATACCCATCTGTTATCTTTGTGGAGAAGAAGGCCATACTAAGCCGGTGTGCCCAAAGAACCCAGCTAGATTCACACAGATGTGCTTTGTGCCACGACAAACGTTAACATCTACGGATGAGAAGAGTACAAATACTAAAGTGATTTCTGTGAAAGTGAATGGGAAAACTGTAAAAGCCCTACTGGACACAGGCAGTACTCAGACACTGGTGCATATGAACTATGTTCCAAGCAATCTCATTTGCACTGAAGACACCATCCCCATATGCTGTGTTCATGGTGACGAGAAACCTTATCCGACTGCTGATGTGTACATTGAAATCAAAGGACAATCTTACGTGATGAGTGTTGGAGTAGCCGATAACTTACCTTTTCCAGTGGTTCTCGGTGAAGATATGCCCATCTTGTATGATTTGATAAAGCCCACAAAAAGCTGCAATGTGGTCACAAGGGCTCAGTCAAAAAGGTGTAACGAATCACCTGCTCTTAGTGCTTTACCTTTTTATGACGCAGAGCTGGAGGCGAAACCCGGGAAGTCCAGAAAGCCACGCAGTCAGAAAAGGCAACAGACATTCCATCGCACTGTTGTAACGGCACCAGGTGAGCTGGATTCACACCTGCCCTTAAAGTATAAACTTCCAACCAATATTGTTGAAATGCAGCAAAGTGACCCAACCCTGTCAAAATTTCTTCTAAAGGCTAAAGAGAGACTGAGTTTGGATGGAGACTCTACAGAGTCAGCGGGAGAATTTTTCT